AAAACCCATTTATAAACACACCCAAAAAGTTGACTTTGGGGTTGATTTTGGGTGTGTTTCTATGTTTAAATAGTGCTTGGGTTTTTTTATAAATACATGTCTAGGATTGGGTTTATTTATAAATTTGTAAAAAAAAAAACAACTAAAAAAAAAAATAAAGAAAAGTAGGCCAATGTCCAAGTCTTTTTTTTTTTTTTTGGGTCAAACGGACTGGTCTAAAGCTCTAACTCAAAAATATGTTCATTTCTTTTTTTGGTAATTGAAAATATGTTCATTTCATTAAGCAAGCAAGCATACAAATCCAGGTTTTATTGTTCCTTCATCTTTTAATTAAATTATTGCTCTAAAAAGTTGGTTTATTATTATTGTTTCTAGCTTTATTATGTGTTGATGTGATTATTGAGATTTTTATTTGGAAATTACAAATGATTCGTGAAACGACCCGACCCAAATTCCACTTTGAAATTCGGGCCGAATCCCGTTTTAAACTGACACCTGGTATCTGTGGATCATAAAAGACGAAAATACCCTGAAAACAATAACATAAACCCTGAGCCCCTAACTCGTGGCTGCGCCTAATAACTGTAGGCTGCCTACGTACCCTTACTGAGAGATCAAGCCACACGTAGTTCTTTTCTCGATTCCCGACCTGTAACTGAACTGTAAAACTGCTACAGGGCTGACCATTCTGGAGTATCCGGGACTCCGTTTTACGATCCGTCAAATACGATACGATCCTGGGAAAGTCTAGATTAACATACTTTGAATTAACTACGATCCAACGGTTCAAACGTATTGAACCCGGAAATCGCACAGTAGGCGAGATCCGTTCGGGGTTCAAACGATATCCGAATTAAGATCCGCAAAATCCCACGCGCTCGTGAGGACTAGGAGATCATTCTAGGACTGACTGTGGTCTCCACACTACTGCTCACGTGCCGCCCACGCGCCGGCAGTGCGTGGTGCCTAAAGCGATAACGCTTCGCCGGAAAATCTCAACATCTCGGCTCAAGACTCCTATCCTAGGTAAAACACCATATTTGGAGCCACTTTTGTTCTTGGACCTACCCCAAAAACTGGCCGGAAGTGGCCGGAATCTCAACCTAAAATTCGGCTAAACGTTGGATCCAAGATCGAGTTATCTACGCTAGAAATTTCTGAAATCCTACCCAAACAGCAGCTAGAGCTCGAGAAATAGATGAGTTTCCATAAATGGATCACCGGAAATGGTGGCCGGATGACGGAGAACGAGCC